TGGCTGGTTCCCCCTTTCCCCCTCCCCATGAGTCACTTCCAGGAGACAAAGGGGAGTTTCCAGGTTCCTGCCCCCAGAGGGAAGAGCTGATCATTGTCCTTTGTTCCAGTCCGTGCTGAATCCACTCCCACATGCAAGTTCTTTGTGATCTTGATGGTCTTCTGTCTGGGACCATCAGGGTTGGCATAGCAACTGGGCAGGGCTCCTGTGGATGTGCTGGGCTGCCCTGTATCAAACCTTCCCCATTTTGTAGTCCTTCCTTCATGGAGTAAAATAAAAGTGGAACAGTGCAGATCCGATGTATGGTGGATTTTCTATGAATTTATAACAGAAGCGTAGCGTATGTCGTGTGTGAGTGTGAGTGTGTGTGTGTGTGTGAAGTTTGTGCAAACTGAATGATTGGGGGGGGGTTCCTGCTACAATACACACACCTGGTTCTCGCTTGGAGGAGTGAGAGGCGGAGGCTCTTTACTTCTAGAATGGCATTTCCCTCGCGCCTCCTTTCCTCCCAGGAGCTCCTCCTTCCACAACCCTGCCAGGCTGGCCGCTTGCCTTTCACCCCCTTTCCAGCACTGCGTGGCTTAGTGTGGCAGCACCTGCCCTTTGGAACTCCCCGCCTCTTGCAATAATAATAATAATAATAATAATAATAATAATTCTAGAATGGCACTTCCCTCGCACCTCCTTTCCTCCCAGGAGCTCCCCCTTCCACAACAACCCTGCCAGGCTGGCCTCTTGCATGTCGCCCCCTTTCCAGCAGGCGAAGCTGCAGGGGCCACTCACTTCCTGGCCCTCCAAAAATGGAGGAGGCCTTTGACCCTGGATGAGCCTGAGAGGAGCCTTGAGGGGGGCAGAGAGGGGCTCTTGCCCCTTCCCAGACTTTTCCGCCATCCATTTATTAGTACTGTTGATTAAACTTAGGCCTCTCGGGGCTCTGGCACCCGGCACAGTGATTTCAAATGATCTCAAACCCTAAAATGGATTGACAGGTAACTGACAGACGTAGATGATCTCTAGAGATATAGTGTCTCCCTGGGGATCTGGGATTCCTCTCGAGGAGGCTGCTTGGACCAGGCGGAGCTGTTGCCCTTGCCGGAGACTCCGGGGGAAGCCCCGTCTCCCGGGCGCTGAGTCGGGCTCCGAGGGGCAGAGGGAGGGCTGGGCTTGCAAGGGTTAAGAGGAGCAGAGCGGGAGTCCTAGAGAGGACGGGAAGGGGAGGGGGAGTGAAGGTCCTCCAGGGCTAAATCCCCCCTCCCCCTCCCTCCCTGCCTTCTTCTTCTCTCTCCTTTGCAAAGCCCCTCCTGGACTCGGGTGAGTCTCCTCTCTCCTCCCCCTGAGGGTGCAATGGGGAGAAGGGGGTCCCAGGGGGGCAGGGAGGGGCCATGGGGGGTCCCTGCTCAGATCATGCCTGGGGGGGGAGACCCCCAAGTCGGGGAGCAGAGGGTCCTCCCTTGTCCTCTCTGCCAAGCCAGGGAGGGGCCACTTCGCAGGAAATATGCAGCTCTGCTCTTCCTTTTAGGATCAGAGGCTTCCTGGGGTCAAGGAAAAGTGGGCAGACAAAGAAACCCCCTTCAGAGGGAGGGATAAGTCACATTTAAGAACAGAGGCTGCAGCCGGATAGGAACATTCCCACGTGGGGGGAGCACAGGGAGAAGAAAAGCCCGTCTGCATCTGCAGCAGCACAACAGGACCACTTCCTGTGTCCCAGATGCAACAGTATTATATTATACAACATAATATTACTAATAATAATAACAATAATAATAATTTATTTGTACCCCGCCCATCTGGCCGGGTTTCCCCAGCCACTCTGGGCGGCTTCCACAAAAACGAAAAAGACACTATTATGTCATACATTTAAAACTTCCCTGAGCAGGGCTGCCTTAAGATGTCTTCTGAATGTCAGGTAGTTGTTTATGTCTCTCCCCTGTCGCTCTGCACACCCACAGCTGGCGCTGTGACCTTCCAACAACTGGATCTCACTCCCAAGGACACACTCTTCCATGGTCTCCCAAGACAGATGACTGCCAACCAGCCAACCATTCCCTCCCCTCCCCCTCCTGGTGCCCCTGGAAGTTGGCTTGAGGGCATTGGGAGGGTCCAACCCACCAGATGAAGGGAGAGGAGGTCCTTCCATCTGGAAAATGGGAATGCTTGCAAAGATTTACTTGAAGATGAGTGCCATATAGATAATAAAACATTATTTTGTGGAATTCCCCCATCTACACAAAGATTAATGCCTATCATTTAAATACACAACAAAATTGTTACAGACAAGAACAGAGCAATGTTTAGAAAAATATCATCTTTCTTCTCCCTTTTTCTCTTAGGGTCCAGTGTGCTTTGAAGACGTAGCTGTTCCTTTCACAGAGGAGGACTGGGCTTTGCTGGATCCTGACCAGAGAGCTCTGCAGAAGGAAGTCAAGGAGGAGAATCCTGGGATCGTGGCCTCTCTGGTAAGGCTCCCTGCTGGATCATAAGATCAGTTTTGAAATTCCATACAGATCTCTGAAGGACAAACCTCCTCTATTTTGAGGGAGCCCCATAGCGCCACCTGCAGCATCTGAGATGTTAACACACCCACAACTCTCCATAGGAGATGTATCTCCTGTTCTGTCTGGGAATATTCTTCCACCAGTGCTGCCTTTTCCAACTGTGAGGAGGCTGGTCTGAGCTGCCCAGGCCTTCTTCAATGTAATCTTCAGAGATATTAAGGACATGGAAGTACATCCTGTCTAATTTTCTCTTTCCCTTTCTGCATCTGTTTTTGGTTGAGCAAAGAAATGACTGAGCTTGGAGATGGAGCGGATTCCATGACTGAGCCAAATTAAATCCATCCCTGGAAAGAGCCAGGCTTTTCGAATCTCCGGGCCCCATAAATACGTTAGCTAATACCAGCCAAAAAAGGCAGTAACTCCCTTCCCTTCTTCCTCTTTCACAAACATTCATTTGCATTCTTCAGTCATTTCAGCCTCAATTTCTTTCTCAGGCTAGGATTATTATTATTATTATTATTATTATTATTATTATTATTGATATCAGGAAACTTGATGAGGAATTAAGGGGAAAGACAGTGTTGACCCAGAGTAGTTACAAAATGTATGTTCTCTCCCCAAGTGCCACAGACCCTCCTCCAAAGAGAGCTTCTCTGAAGAAAGCACAAGCAAAAATTACTCAATTTTACGTGAATAAGGAAAATGAGGAGGTGGCTAAGAAACAGCAGGAGCCAGATCCTATTACTGACCTTATAGGATCTCTCAGCAGCTCTAAGGATGAGCAGAAAGAGGTTTTGGGCCCAGGCAGCTCAACTGCTAAGTCATCTCTGGCACTGAGACCAGGAGCTCAAGCGACTCAAGCCCAAATTCAGGCTAAACAAGTAGAGGAACTAATGTTAAAAATTACAAAATAGTGCAATATTAAAAAGTTGACTTTAAAAAACTTTTGAACCTGCTTGAGAGCAGCTCATGCTCTGGGTCCAGACAGAACACTAAGAAGCTTGTACTATGCTAGAATCTGCACACCAGATCCCTATATCAATATGAAACGATATGCAAGGTTATCAAATGGTCTGATGTCCTGTCAAAAGCTAAAACCAAACCAACTAGGGAGAGGGTTTTCATAAAAGGAATTGGAAATGGGTGCTGTCTCAAAATAAGCTACTTCTCTCAAGCTACCCTAAGCCTTTGGGAATCTTGTCACAAGAGGAGCGTAAAGTTTGTGAAGATGGTGTATAAGCACAGAGAATATCTAAGGAAGAGTGGTGTATCAGTCTCAAGATTATTCCAAAATGTGGCATCACCAGCTCCTCTGCTTCCACATACAGCAACACCTCCAAAAAGTCCTCAGTTCAAGGCAGACTATCCTGCTTTAATTGACAAAGATTCTGCAGGTGACAATCCTGACTAGCCAGCTGACCTGGACCCCAAGGAACCCCCTAACTCAAAGACCCCGGGGTCTTTGCAGTTGAGGAATCTGGGGAAGGACCTACTTGACAGAACTGAAAAGAATTGTTTACATGCCTTCTGTGCTCTGCCACAAGACGCCCAGAATGAAATATTCTCCAGATTTGACCTCTGACGTTCCTGCCTAATAAGTTTGAAGAAGGAACACAAGGGCTCATGCAAGTAGAACTTGACTCTTTGTGCTCCAGATCCAGCCCACCAGATATTCCAGCGTGAGTTGAATTTATGGGCTGAAAAGCCACCTCCCCCACCAGGTTAATGAACCCTCTTTCCATACCAATTGGAGATGAAAAGCTTCCCCAAAGATTTGGTCCCCATGCAAGAGGCAAATATGGCCATATCACCTGCCTGGCTTGCAATGAGAGAGCTCAAAGATTGTGAACTGGGCTCTGCATACAAAGAACCAAGCATGCAGGCATCTACAGTACATGTACAGTGGTACCTCGGGTTCCATACGCTTCAGGATACAGACTCCGCGAACCCAGAAATAGTGCTTCAGGTTAAGAACTTTGCTTCAGGGTGAGAACAGAAATTGTGCTCCAGCGGCACAGTGGCAGCAGGAGGCCCCATTAGCTAAAGTGGTGCTTCAGGTTAAGAACAGTTTCAGGTTAAGTACGGATCTCTGGAACGAATTAAGTACTTAACCTGAGGTACCACTGTAATAGCTACTGTGCTATTTTCTGCCCATGCTCTGGGGTTGCAGTTTTCAGGCTTGGGGACAGGGTGGTGACTGGTTTTTGCACCAAGTTCTGTCCATAAGCCCCAGTGAGTACAATGGGATCTACTCTCAGGTCATTACTGTGCAGAACATGTCAGCCTTACGAAGTGGGGTGAGGAGCAAACAGAGGAAATTGAAACCACTGGAGAGGTTTCGAAATGGGGCTTCTGTTGGGAAGGGGCTGCCCCATTTGTTTTTCTCCCGGGGCAGGAGAATATCTAGGGCAGGAGAATCCCTGCAGGGCCTCTGAGGCTCCCTTTGCTTCTTCCTCTCTCCCAGGACCCTGCAGCTTCTTTTGGCTCCTTGACTCCTCAGGAAGGATGAAAGAGACGGATCCTGCAAACCTAGCGAGGATGGAAGGAGGAAGATGGATGGATGACCTGGTCCGGCTGTCTCCTGCATCCCTCCCCACAACCTCTGAGCACTCCCTCCCAGGGACCTCCGAGAGATCTGGTGAGTCCCAGGAGAGTGGAGATGGGGACGTAGAGGGATGGAGCCGGAGAGGAATTGGGGCTTGCTCAGCTTGGGGGTGGGGGGAGGCAGGCAGGCGGATGGAGATGGAGAAGGGGAGCACCTTTTCGGGCTCCCCCACCTGCCTGCCTGCCTGCCTGCCTGCTCCTTTTGTCATCTGCAGGCAATTTGAGCTAGAAATAGATCACAGCTCCCCGGCCACTGCGATGTATTGGCAGCTCAAAAGGTCTAAAACCAGTTCTGTGATCTGAATGCCCTACCAATTTCAGAGAACTCACTGATCCATCGCGCAGCACTGGACTCCTTAAAGGAACCTGATCCTGCTGTGCAGTGAGAACTCAGATGGGGCCTCCGTGTGTTGCCTTTTTCTCTTCTTTTTGTATAACTTTTATTAGCTTTATAAAACAAGGAAGATAGGAATAATAGATGATACAAATATGTAGGCTGAGTCTGTATATCTCAAACATAGCAGAATAAATTTGCAGGAGTATCTATAACATATAGTTCATCTTTTCTTGAGCAATATTTTGCCATATATTCATCAAAACATTTCCACTCCTTTTTAAATTTTTGATTCGACTGATTTCTTCTTATAGCAGTTAATTTTGCCAGAATTAAATATTCATTTAGTTTACAAATCCATTCCTCCTTTGTGGGTATAGTTTGTGACTTCCACCGAGCAGCAATCACTATTCTAGCAGCTGCACTTGTGGAATGTAATGGCGTCCGCCACACTTTCCTGTGCCAACTCTCCGTGCCAACTGTGAGCCTGAAGCTGTCTTCCTGGCTCCAAGCCGAGTTTCGCAGCAGCGGTCGTGCCTTGGGTGGGTGATAAATCCAAGGCTGTACGCAGGCTTCTTGCTCATCTAAGAAGTCTTTACTCATTGTACAGAAAAACATCATAAATCAACCCGGAGATCGAGCGGACATCTCCTCGGCTCGACAGCTAAAAACGAAAGTAACTCGCACACAAAGAAAGATTCCCGTATGTGAACAAAACCACGCCTCAGAATGTGAGATGTCACACAGAACTGTTTAACCCTGTAAGTTCTGATTCTCCTCATAGTACTTGCATATAGAAAAATTCTTCCCCCCCCCATGGTATCTCTTCATCTATCACTGCAAGGAGATATGTCTCTGGTTTCTTTGTTATTGATATTTTCAACATCTTCTTTAGTTCTTCGTGTACTACTATCCCAAATTTCTTAATTTCCTCACACCTCCACCACATATGTATTGTTGTTCCTATTTTTCCACCACATCTGCAACAGAGGTTGGATTTCAATTTGTATATCTTTGCCAGCTTAACTGGCATTAAGTACCACCTATAGAACATCTTTACAAAATATTCTTTAATTGTATATGAGGCAGTAAATCGTATATCCTCTCGCCAGAGTTTCTCCCATTGCTCTAGATAGATAGTATGTCTGAGATCCTGAGACCATTTACCATATTTTTCGCTCTATAGGACGCACTTTTCCCCTCCAAAAATGAAGGGAAATGTGTGTGCGTCCTATGGGGCAAATGCAGGCTTCAGGAGAGCCCCAGCGCCAGCCCCACAAAGTCGGGGGACAGAGGGAGGCGGAACGCCGCCATCCCGCTGTCTCCCGAAGTGGTTTGGAGGCTGACGGCGGAGAGACCCTGCCGCCAGCCCCGCAAGCTCCGGGGACAGCTGGGAGGCGCAGCGCGTCTTCCCCTGTCCCCGGACCTGATCTGAAGGCGGGCGGCGGGGAGAAATTTAAAGATTACTTACAGAAATATTGCAAAATTAATGAATGTTAGAGTGATGTTGGATTGAAATTAAGTGGCTTCTAGCTGTACAGGCTTTAAAGTTATATATAGATCAAGATTAAGGATTAGGATTAAAAAAGTTAAAAGAAATGGAAAGTTGGCATTTAATAGGTCAAAATTTAATGTTATATTATATTAAGATCAAGGATTGGGATTAAAAAGGAGGGAAAGGAATTGCTGGACAAACAAATTGAATTGGAATACAAAAGAGGGAGGTATGAGGAGGTCCGGGAAATAAGTAAATGTAAAAGTTGTGATGAAAAGATGGAATTGTTTTTAACTGTTTTTTTTCTTTCTTTTTTCTTGTATTTTGTATGGTGTATTTCTATTTTTATTTTCAAACTTCTTTTTTTTTATTATTAAGATGTCTCTTTTCATGTGAAACTTCAATAAATATCATTTAAAAAAGAAAAAAAAAAAAGAGAACAGAAATTGTGCTCCAGCGGCACAGTGGCAGCAGGAGGCCCCATTAGCTAAAGTGGTGCTTCAGGTTAAGAACAGTTTCAGGTTAAGTACGGATCTCTGGAACGAATTAAGTACTTAACCTGAGGTACCACTGTAATAGCTACTGTGCTATTTTCTGCCCATGCTCTGGGGTTGCAGTTTTCAGGCTTGGGGACAGGGTGGTGACTGGTTTTTGCACCAAGTTCTGTCCATAAGCCCCACTGAGTTCAAGGGTTCCACCTTGAGGTCACTACTGGACAGACCCTGCCAGCCTTACGAAGTCGGGTGATTAGCAAACAGGGGAAACTGGAACGACAGGAGATGTTTCGAAATGGGGCTTCTGTTGGGAAGGGGCTGCCCCATTTGTGCTTCTCCAGGGGCAGGAGAATATCTAGGGCAGGAGAATCCCTGCAGGGCCTCTGAGGCTCCCTTTGCTTCTTCCTCTCTCCCAGGACCCTGCAGCTTCTTTTGGCTCCTTAACTCCTCAGGAAGGATGAGTGAGACGGATCCTGTCAAGCTAGAGGAGATGGAAGAGGGAAGATGGACGCATGACCTGGTCCGGCTGTCTCCTGCATCCCTCCCCACAACCTCTGAGCACTCCCTCCCAGGGACCTCCGAGAGATCTGGTGAGTCCCAGGAGAGTGGAGATGGGGACCTGGATGGATGGAGCCAGAGAGGAATTGGGGCTTGCTCAGGTTGGGGGTGGGGGGAGGCAGGCAGGCGGATGGAGATGGAGAAGGGGAGCACCTTTTTGGGCTCCCCCACCTGCCTGCCTGCCTGCCTGCCTGCCTGCCTGCGCTTTTGTCATCTGCAGGCAATTTGAGCTAGGAATAGATCACAGCTCCCCGGCCACCGCGATGTATTGGCAGCTCAAAAGGTCTAAAACCAGTTCTGTGATCTGAATGCCCTGCCAATGTCAGACAACTCACTGATCCATCGTGCAGCACTGGACTCCTTAAGGGAACCTGATCCTGCTGTGCAGTGTGAACTCAGATGGGGCCTCCGTGTGTTGCCTTTTTCTCTTCTTTTTGTATAACTTTTATTAACTTTATAAAATAAGGAAGATAGGAATAATAGATGATACAAATATGTAGGCTGAGTCTGTATATCTCAAACATAGCAGAATAAATTTGCAGGAGTATCTATAACATATAGTTCATCATTAGTGGTCAGTGTATGAGTTCTGGGTGCATGAATTGCTTTCAACTGAAACAAAAAAGGGAAACAGGAGAGAACAGAGAACATTCAAGATCGCAGAGCCAAATGCCTAGACTGGAGCTCTTGTGGCCGTTGTGCTTAGATTAAGTGAGTAATAGTCATTTTTCCTCTTCTGTTACCAATGAAACAAGACAGAGTTGGTCTTATCATGAAAATGGGAGGGGGTTCAAAGTGAAGAAAGAGATTTACGTATAAATTTAAATATTTTCCTGTTTTAATTTTTTTAAATTATTATTATTTTTAATGGTTTTCACATATTACTTTACAATACAGATGTACCAAAGCCAACACCATTTCCTTCCCATCCCCCCATACATTTACATTTCTATTTCCTCAATCAATCATATTATCCTTTTCTCCCTCCTCCCACTTCCCTCCGCCCCCACTGGTTTTCCTCCACATTATACAATTTACAATAATCTTTGCATTCTACAACCTTCTCAAATCATCTTTATATTCTTATTATCTTTCCTTACTAATTTTTCTTCCATCCAGTACTTCACATTTTAATCTAGGCATATTAGCGTATCTTTCCTTGAGCAATATTTTGCCATATATTCATCAAAACATTTCCACTTGGTTGTCAAGTCTCTGCTTAAAGACCTCCAAAGAAGGAGACTCCACCACACTCCTTGGCAGCAAATTCCACTGTCGAACAGCTCTTACTGTCAGGAAGTTCTTCCTAATGTTTAGGTGGAATCTTCTTTCTTGTAGTTTGGATCCATTGCTCCGTGTCCGCTTCTCTGGAGCAGCAGAAAACAACCTTTCTCCCTCCTCTATGTGACATCCTTTTATATATTTGAACATGGCTATCATATGACCCCTTAACCTCCTCTTCTCCAGGCTAAACATGCCCAGCTCCCTTAGCCGTTCCTCATAAGGCATCGTTTCCAGGCCTTTGACCATTTAGTTGACAAAGATTCTGCAGGTGACAATCCTGACTAGTCAGCTGACCTAGACCCCAAGGAACCCCCTAAATCAAAGACCCCGGGGTCTTTGCAGTTGAGGAATCTAGGGAAGGACCTTACTGACAGAACTGAAAAGAATTGTTTACATGCCTTCTGTGCTCTGCCATAAGAAGCCCAGAATGAAATACTCTCAGATTTGACCTCTGACGTTCCTGCCTAATAAGTTTGAAGAAGGAACACAAGGGCTCATGCAAGTAGAACTTGACCCTTTGTGCTCCAGATCCAGCCCACCAGATATTCCAGCATGAGTTGAATTTATGGGCTGAAAAGCCACCTCCTCCCACCAGCAGGTTAATGAACCCTCTTTCCTACCAATTGGAGATGAAGAGCTTCCCCAAAGATTTGGTCCACATGCAAGAGGCAAATATGGCCAAAACACCTGCCTGGCTTGCAATGAGAGAGCTCAAAGAGCGTCAACGGGGCTCTTCATACAAAGAACCAAGCATGCAGGCACCTACAATACATGTACAGAGGTACCTCAGGTTCCATACGCTTCAGGTTACAGACTCCGTGAACCCAGAAATAGTGCTTCAGGTTAAGAACTTTGCTTCAGGGTGAGAACAGAAATTGTGCTCCAGCGGCACAGTGGCAGCAGGAGGCCCCATTAGCTAAAGTGGTGCTTCAGGTTAAGAACAGTTTCGGGTTAAGTACGGACCTCTGGAACGAATTAAGTACTTAACCTGAGGTACCACTGTAATAGCTACTGTGCTATTTTCTGCCCATGCTCTGGGGTTGCAGTTTTCAGGCTTGGGGACAGGAAGGTGACTGGTTTTTGCACCAAGTTCTGTCCATAAGCCCCACTGAGTTCAAGGGTTCCACCTTGAGGTCACTACTGGACAGACCCTGCCAGCCTTACGAAGTCGGGTGATTAGCAAACAGGGGAAACTGGAACGACAGGAGATGTTTCGAAATGGGGCTTCTGATGAGAAGGGGCTGCCCCACTTGTTCTTCTCCAGAGGCAGGAGAATATCTAGGGCAGGAGAATCCCTGCAGGGCCTCTGAGGCTCCCTTTGCTTCTTCCTCTCTCCCAGGACCCTGCAGCTTCTTTTGGCTCCTTGACTCCTCAGGAAGGATGAGTGAGACGGATCCTGTCAAGCTAGAGGAGATGGAAGAGGGAAGATGGACGCATGGCCTGGTCCGGCTGTCTCCTGCATCCCTCCCCACAACCTCTGAGCACTCCCTCCCAGGGACCTCCGAGAGATCTGGTGAGTTCCAGGAGAGTGGAGATGGGGACATGGAGGGATGGAGCCAGAGAGGAATTGGGGCTTGCTCAGGTTGGGGGTGGGAGGAAGCAGGCAGGCAGATGGAGATGGAGAAGGGGAGCACCTTTTCGGGCTCCCCTGCCTGCCTGCCTGCCTGCCTGCGCCTTTGTCATCTGCGGGCAATTTGAGCTAGGAATAGATCACAGCTCCCCGGCCACCGCGATGTATTGGCAGCTCAAAATGTCTAAAACCAGTTCTGCGATCTGAATGCCCTACCAATTTCAGACAACTCACTGATCCATCGTGCAGCACTGGACTCCTTAAGGGAACCTGATCCTGCTGTGCAGTGTGAACTCAGATGGGGCCTCCGTGTGTTGCCTTTTTCTCTTCTTTTTGTATAACTTTTATTAACTTTATAAAATAAGGAAGATAGGAATAATAGATGATACAAATATGTAGGCTGAGTCTGTATATCTCAAACATAGCAGAATAAATTTGCAGGAGTATCTATAACATATAGTTCATCATTAGTGGTCAGTGTATGAGTTCTGGGTGCATGAATTGCTTTCAACTGAAACAAAAAAAGGGGAAACAGGAGAGAACAGAGAACATTCAAGATCGCAGAGCCAAATGCCTAGACTGGAGCTCTTGTGGCCGTTGTGCTTAGATTAAGTGAGTAATAGTCATTTTTCCTCTTCTGTTACCAATGAAACAAGACAGAGTTGGTCTTATCATGAAAATGGGAGGGGAGGGGTTCAAAGTGAAGAAAGAGATTTACGTATAAATTTAAATATTTTCCTGTTTTAATTTTTTTTAATTATTATTATTTTTAATGGTTTTCACATATTACTTTACAATACAGATGTACCAAAGCCAACACCATTTCCTCCCCATCCCCCCATACATTTACATTTCTATTTCCTCAATCCATCATATTATCCTTTTCTCCCTCCTCCCACTTCCCTCCGCCCCCACTGGTTTTCCTCCACATTATACAATTTACAATAATCTTTGCATTCTACAACCTTCTCAAATCATCTTCATATTCTTATTATCTTTCCTTACTAATTTTTCTTCCATCCAGTACTTCACATTTTAATCTAGGCATATTAGCGTATCTTTCCTTGAGCAATATTTTGCCATATATTCATCAAAACATTTCCACTTGGTTGTCAAGTCTCTGCTTAAAGACCTCCAAAGAAGGAGACTCCACCACACTCCTTGGCAGCAAATTCCACTGTCGAACAGCTCTTACTGTCAGGAAGTTCTTCCTAATGTTTAGGTGGAATCTTCTTTCTTGTAGTTTGGATCCATTTCTTCTTATAGCAGTTAATTTTGCCCGAATTAAATATTCATTTAGTTTACAAATCCATTCCTCCTTTGTGGGTATAGTTTGTGACTTCCACCGAGCAGCAATCACTATTCCAGCAGCTTCACTTGTGGAATGCAATGGCATCCGCCACACTTTCCTGTGCCAACTCTCCGTGCCAACTGTGAGCCTTAAGCTGTCTTCCTGGCTCCAAGCCGAGTTTCACAGCAGCGGTCGTGCCTTGGGTGCGTGATAAATCCAAGCCTGTACGCAGGCTTCTTGCTCATCTAAGAAGTCTTTAATCATTGTACGGAAAAACATCATAAATCAACCCAGAGATCGAGTGGACATCTCCTCGGCTCGACAGCTAAAAACGAAAGTAACTCACACACAAAGAAAGATTCCCGTATGTGAACAAGACCACACCTCAGAATGTCACACAGAACTGTTTAACCCTGTAAGTTCTGATTCTCCTCACAGTACTTGCATATAGAAAAATACCCCCCCCCCGTGGTATCTCTTCATCTCTCAATCCAAGGAGATATGTCTGGTTTCTTTGTTATTGATATTTTCAACATCTTCTTTAGTTCTTCGTGTACTACTATCCAAAATTTCTTAATTTCCTCACACCTCCACCACATATGTATTGTTGTTCCTATTTCTCCACCACATCTCCAACAGAGGTTGGATTTCAATTTGTATATCTTTGCCAGCTTAACTGGCGTTAAGTACCACCTATAGAACATTTTTACAAAATGTTCTTTAATTGTATATGAGGCAGTAAATCGTATATCCTCTCGCCAGAGTTTCTCCCATTGCTCTAGATAGATAGTATGTCCAAGATCCTTCAGTTGGTTAAAGGTATACAGGTTGGAGCCAAACAGTACAAATTGAGAGCATTTGCAGATGACTTAGTATTGACGTTACAGGAGCCAGAATCTAGTACCAAAAGGGTTTTAGAATTGATTCAAGAATTTGGTCAAGTTGCAGGATTTAAATTGAATAAGGTAAAAACTAAGGTTTTAGAGAAAAATCTAACACCAATATAGAGAGAGAGGTTTCAGAATGAGACAGGTCTAATAGTGGTTAAGAAAGTTAAATATTTGGGGATTAACTTGACAGCAAAAAATGGGAACTTATTTAAAGACAACTATGAAAGATGTTGGGCTGAAGTGAAAAAAGATTTAGAAATTTGGTCAAATTTGAAGCTTTCACTGCTGGGCCGTATTGCTGCTGTAAAAATGAATGTATTGCCTAGAATGTTGTTTTTGTTTCATACATGGCAAATTGTGGACAAAATGGACTGTTTCAAGAGGTGGCAGAGAGATATTTCTAGATTTGTCTGGCAGGGCAAGAAGCCCAGAATAAAATTTAGAATATTAATAGATGCAAAGGATAGAGGTGGATTTGCCCTGCCAGACCTTAAACTTTACTATGAATCAGCAGCTTTCTGCTGGTTGAAAGAATGGCTGCTTCTTGAAAACACTGACATTTTGGATTTAGAAGGTTTTAACAACGTATTTGGGTGGCATGCATATCTGTGGTATGACAGGGTCAAAGCACATAAAGCATTTAAAAACCATATTGTCAGGAAAGCACTGTTTAATGTTTGGATAAGATATAAGGATTTATTGGAAAACAAAACTCCAAGGTGGCTGTCACCAATGGAAGCGAAAGCCTTGAAAAAGCTCAATATGGAGGTCAAATGGCCAAAATATTGGGAAATTTTGGAACAAGATGGAGACAGATTGAAATTGCAGAGTTTCGAAAAACTAAAAAACAAGGTGCGAGACTGGCTTCATTATTATCAGATAATGGAGGCATACAATTTGGACAAGAAAATTGGCTTCCAGGTGGAAAAATCAAAATTAGAAACAGAACTGTTAGAACCCAAAACTAAGAATTTGTCAAGAATGTATAACTTGCTGCTGAAATGGAACACTCAGGATGAAACGGTGAAATCTGCTATGATTAAATGGGCACAAGATGTTGGACATAACATCATGTTCGCTGACTGGGAACAGTTATGGACCACAGGTATGAAGTTTACGGCATGTAATGCCTTAAGAGAGAATATTATGAAAATGATATACAGGTGGTACATAACCCCAGTTAAGCTTGCAAAAATCTACCATTTGCCTGATAATAAATGTTGGAAATGTAAAGAAACTGAAGGTACATTTTTTCACCTTTGGTGGACGTGCCCAAAGATTAAGGCTTTTTGGGAAATGATATATAATGAATTAAAAAAGGTATTTAAATATACCTTCTTGAAGAAACCAGAGGCCTTTCTCCTGGGCATTGTCGGCCAACCGGTGTTAAAAAAGGATAGAACTTTCTTCATGTATGCTACAACAGCAGCAAGAATACTCATCGCAAAGTATTGGAAGACACAAGACCTACCCACACTGGAGGAATGGCAGATGAAACTTATGGACTATATGGAATTGGCGGAAATGACTGGCAGAATCCGTGACCAGGGAGAAGAGTCGGTGGAAGAAGATTGGAAGAAATTTAAAGATTATTTACAGAAATATTGCAAAATTAATGAATGTTAGAGTGATTTTGGATTGAAATTAAGTGGCTTCTAGCTGTATAGGCTTTAAAGTTATAAATAGATTAAGATTAAGGATTAGGATTAAAAAGGTTAAAAGAATGGAAAATTGGTTTTTAATAGGTAAAAATTTAATGCTATATTATATTAAGATTAAGGACTGGGATTAAAAAGCAGGGAAAGGAATTGCTGGACTAACAAACTGAATTGGAATACAAAAGAGGGAGGTATGAGGAGGTCCGGGAAACAAGTAAATGTAAAAGTAGTGATGAAAAGAAGGAATTGTTTTTTAACTGTTTTTTCTTTTTTCTTTTTGAATTTTGTTTGTGTACTTTTCTTTATATTCTTGAATTTTTCTTTTTTGTTGATGTGATTTTTTCTTTATGAAACTTTAATAAATATCATTAAAAAAAAGAAAGTATGTCCGAGCTCCTGAGACCATTTAATCGTTTCTTTTTTCTTTATTTCTTTCTTTTTTTAAATGATATTTATTACAGTTTCAAAGAATACAAAAAATAAAAATACAAGAAAATACAAAATACAGAAAAAAGAATAAATTTTTTAAAATATAACTAAAAGAAGAAAAATAAAGAAAAACATACAAGATACAAACAGTTAAAAACACGTTAACTTTCCATAGCATATCTTCCTTACCCTTATTTCTCCGGACCTCTTCATACCTCCCTTTTTGTATTCCAGTTCAGTTTGTTAGTTCAGCAAATCCTTACCATTAAGCTTTTACCCATTTGTAAACCTTTTTTCGTATCTCTTCAAGCATTACAGCTGGAAACCACTTAGTTCCTATCCAACATCCTTCTAAGATTCATTAATTTTACAATATTTCTGTAAATAGTCTTTAAATTTCTTCCAGTCTTCTTTCACCGACTCTTCTCCCTGGTCTCGGATTCTGCCAGTCATTTCTGCCAATTCCATGTAGTCAATCACCTTCATCTGCCATTCTTCCAGAGTGGGTAGATCTTGTGTCTTCCAATACTTTGCAATGAGTATTCTTGCTGCTGTTGTAGCATACATAAAAAAAGTTCTGTCCTTCTTTGGCACCAATTGGCCGACAATGCCCAGAAGAAAGGCCTCTGGTTTCTTCAGGAAGGTATATTTAAATACCTTTTTCAGTTCATTATATATCATTTCCCAGAAAGCCTTAATCCTTGGGCACGTCCACCAAAGGTGAAAGAATGTACCTTCAGTTTCTTTACATTTCCAGCATTTATTATCGGGCAAATGATAGATTTTGCAAGCTTGACTGGGGTCATGTACCATTTAATCATCGTTTCTTTCACTTCTTCCTCCATCAATTCCCAGTCCAATAAAAGATTATAGGTTTTGGATAACAATTTCTTGTTGTTGTTTATCACTGTGACTTTAAATTTCGAATCTTCTTTTGCAAATCCTTTCTTTTGATCCGAGTTGAATATACTTCTAAGTTGTATATATTGCCATCTGTCAATTTAAATTTTGACTTACCAGATTCAAATAACTTCTGATGGGGAGCGTTCAGGTGAAGATGTTGCTGTTTGTTTCACAGACAAGGCGTGGACGTTGCTGGATCCTGACCAGAGAGATCAGCATAAAGAGGTCAAGGAGGAGAATCGTGGGATCGTGGACTCTCTTGGTAAGGCTCCCTGTTGGATCATAACATGTTGTGATTGCAGATGGAGTGGATTCCATGATTGAGCCAGAACAAAATCCATCCCAGATAAAAGCCAAGCAATATGTCAGTTAATACCAGCCAACTAAGGAAGTGAAACCTATAGGACGGCCTCACATCTCATTCTCTTCAGATCTTCCTCTGTCACAAGCATTCATTAACATTGTTCAATAATCTGGAGCTCCCATTTCCTCCTGAGACTCTAATTAGCATCTCTCTTCATTGCAGATGGTGATGAATTGGAAGGGAAGAACAAGGGGGAGCACAACAGAATCCAGATAGCGGAGAAGTCATATAAATATTCAGAGTGTGGAGAGAACATCCGTCAAAGCTCCCAGTCCACCTCCCATCAAAGAAAGAGCTTCGTTCGAAGGAATAGCCTCACTTCACACGAAATAACACAGAGTAGGAAGAAATCGTATCAGTGCTTGGAGTGTGGAAAGAGCTTCAATCGAAAGAATAATTTCACTGTGCATCAAAGAATTCATACAGGGAGAAACCCTATCAGTGCTTCGAATGTGGAAAGAGCTTTCGTCTGAGTGGTGATCTCACTTCCCACCAAAGAATTCATACAGGGGGAAAACCCTATCAGTGCTTGGAATGTGGAAAGAGCTTCAATCGAAAGGGTCATCTCACTTCCCATCAAAGAATTCATACAGGGGAGAAACCCTATCAGTGCTTCGAATGTGGGAAGAGCTTTCGTCACAGTGGTGAACTCACTTCCCACCAAAGAATTCATACAGGGGAGAAACCCTATCAGTGCTTCGAATGTGGGAAGAGCTTTCGTGTGAGTGGTGATCTCACTTCCCACCAAAGAATTCATACAGGGGAGAAACCCTATCAGTGCTTGGAGTGTGGAAAGAGCTTCACTCATAGCTCCCATCTCACTTCCCATCAAAGAATTCATACAGGGGGAAAACCCTATCAGTGCTTCGAATGTGGAAAGAGCTTTCGTGTGAGTGGTGAACTCACTTCCCACCAAAGAATTCATACAGGGGAGAAACCCTATCAGTGCTTGGAGTGTGGAAAGAGCTTCACTCATAGCTCCCATCTCACTTCCCATCAAAGAATTCATACAGGGGGAAAACCCTATCAGTGCTTCGAATGTGGAAAGAGCTTTCGTGTGAGTGGTGAACTCACTTCCCACCAAAGAATTCATACAGGGGAGAAACCCTATCAGTGCTTGGAGTGTGGAAAGAGCTTCAGCCAGAGGGCCCATCTCACTTCCCATCAAAGAATTCATACAGGGGGAAAACCCTATCAGTGCTTCGAATGTGGAAAGAGCTTCAATCGAAAGGGTCATCTCACTTCTCATCAAACAATTCATACAGGGGAAAAACCCTATCAGTGCTTCGAATGTGGGAAGAGCTTTCGTGTGAGTGGTGATCTCACTTCCCACCAAAGAATTCATACAGGGGAGAAACCCTATCAGTGCTTCGAATGTGGGAAGAGCTTTCGTGTGAGTGGTGATCTCACTTCCCACCAAAGAATTCATACAGGGGAGAAACCCTATCAGTGCTTGGAGTGTGGGAAAAGCTTCAGTTACAGCGCCAATCTCACTTCCCATCAAAGAATTCATACAGGGGAAAACCCTATCAGTGCTTGGAATGTGGAAAGAGCTTCAATCGAAAGGGTCATCTCACTTCTCATCAAAGAATTCATACAGGGGAAAAACCCTATCAGTGCTTGGAATGTGGAAAGAGCTTCAATCGAAAGGATTATCTCACTTCCCATCAACAAATACATACAGGGGAGAAGCCCTATCATTGCTTGGAATGTGGAAAATGCTTCAGTCATAGCACCGGTCTCACTTCTCATCAACAAATTCATACAGGGGAGAAGCCCTATCATTGCTTGGAATGTGGAAAATGCTTCATTCATAGCACCGGTCTCACTTCCCATCAAAGAATTCATACAGGGGAGAAACCCTATCAGTGCTTCGAATGTGGGAAGAGCTTTCGTGTGAGTGGTGAACTCACTTCCCACCAAAGAATTCATACAGGGGAGAAACCCTATCAGTGCTTGGAGTGTGGGAAAAGCTTTAGTTACAGCACCAATCTCACTTCCCATCAAAGAATTCATACAGGGGAGAAACCCTATCAGTGCTTGGAATGTGGAAAGAGCTTCTGTCAAAGGGGGACGCTCACTTCCCATCAACGAATACATACAGGGGAGAAACCCTATCAGTGCTTGGAATGTGGGAAAAGCTTCAGTCAAAGCTCCAATCTCACTTCCCATCAAAGAATCCATACAAGAGAGACAACGTCTTAGTGCTTGGAATGTGGGAAAAGATTCATTCATTGCCCACCAAATAATTTATACGGGGTTGAAAATTGGATCCCTCTCAAAGAGGGCTGCAGACAACTGACAGACTACAACTGGGGAATATTTCACACAGGAAACCACATCTGCTTGCATGGACTTTTGTCATATATGGATTTATAAAAGTGAAGGTGAATCTTTGATCTTTGTAAGCTTCCCTTAGGGCTCAGGGGGAGCAAGCTTGGATTCTAGAGGAACCAAACAATTATTAACTGTGAAATCTATCGCACAGTGTGGTCTCTTACAAAAGATTCTTCGGTTTGGGAAAATATCAGTCAGTTAAAATACATTACATGTGTCTTAATTTTAACTAAACAAAGGAAAGCTGGAAGACAGCCCAGAGTCCTGGAAGGTAAGACAGTGGAATGAAATAGGGCCTTCTGAGGAGGGACTGCACCGAAAACAATTGAGGGACAACAGGAAGAAGAGCACAATTTTCATCATGCATGTTAATTTACATATAGATCTGTTAAATATGATGAAAGTTGCATGCCAATGGCTGTCAAGATAAGATAAAGGATTAAAATCGGGATGATATTGGGAATAAATAAAAGAGAGAAAAGTAGGAACAAGAACCCCAAAAAAAAATAATCTCATCAATCTTTGTCTTTTGTCTTCTTTTTTTCTCTGTTGTTATTCTGTCTCTCACAGCTACAATAAACCTACCATTATTATTGTGGACTTGGCATTTCTTCGTCAGAGGGCAAAAACCCAAATTTAGAAGGGGATCAAATACTTTCCCCCCTCACTCTAGATGTTTACACACACCCCTGGCTCTCGCTTGGAGGAGGAGTGAGAGACGGAGGCACTTTACTGACAGAATGGCATTTCCCTCGCACCTCCTTTCCTCCCAGGAGCTCCTCCTTCCACAACCCTGCCAGGCTGGCCGCTTGCCTTTCACCCCCTTTCCAGCACTGCGTTGTTTAGTGTGGCAGCACCTGCCCTTCGGAACTCCCTGCCTCTTGCAATAAAGCGCGTGCCTTTGCTAGACTCTTTTCTGGCACCTGCTAAAAGCATTCTTATTTAGGCAAGCATAGTCAGATGCTTAGGAAGCTGAAGTAATTTTAATCTCTTTTAATATTTTAGCTTTCTGTGTTTTAAAGTAGGCTTGTTAATTTTTATTGATTTTACTGCTGTGGTGTTGTTGTTTTTTGTATTGGTAAACAACTTTGCAGGTTGTTTAAAATAAATTTTAATAAATAAATAAACAATAAATATAAATAAAATAACACAAGCCAAAACACAATGCATCCTGTAGATTTAAGTAACTGTCCACAGTGGCCTACTTGTTATCGGAGGCCCAGAATCCACAATCCTTTGTAAGAAAATATGAAATAAAGTTAAAACATTTTTGTAGGCCAAAAAAAAAGAAAAAGGTCAATATTGGGGAGGTGACAAAAACTTTTCCACACCAGGTACCCCCTGACCTTGTTATGCCACTACCTGGGGTGCAGGGAATGCATGGGGGTCCCTGTTCAGATAATTCCTGGTGGGGGGAGAGCCCCAAGTCAGGGAGCAGAGGGTCCTCCCTTGTCCTCTCTGCCAAGCCAGGGAGGGGCCACTTCGCAGGAGGTCTGCAGCTCTGCTCTTCCTTGGGATCCAGATGCTGCCTTCATTTTTGGGGAGGGGGCTTTGGGACAAGGAAATAAACCCCCTTCAGAGGGAGGGAAAAGTCACATTTGTGAACAGAGGATGTAGACAGATGAGAAGGTTTGAGATATACAGACTCAGCCTACATATTTGTATCATTTATTATTCCTATGTTCCCTGTTTTATAAAGCTAATAAAAGTTATACAAAAAGAAGAGGAAAAGGCAACACACGGAGGCCCCATCTGAGTTCACACTGCACAGCAGGATCAGGTTCCCTTAAGGAGTCCAGTGCTGTGCGATGGATCAGTGAGTTGTCTGAAATTGGTAGGGCATTCAGATCACAGAACTGGTTTTAGACCTTTTGAGCTGCCAATACATCGCGGTGGCCGGGGAGCTGTGATCTATTCCTAGCTCAAATTGCCTGCAGATGACAAAGGCGCAGGCAGGCAGGTAGGAAGGCAGGTGGGGGAGCCCGAAAAGGTGCTCCCCTTCTCCATCTCCATCCGCCTGCCTGCCTCCCCCCACCCCCAACCTGAGCAATTCCTCTCTGGCTCCATCCATCCAGGTCCCAATCTCCCCTCCCCTGGGACTCACCAGATCTCTCGGAGGTCCCTGGGAGGGAGTGCTCAGAGGTTGTGGGGAGGGATGCAGGAGACAACCTGACCAGGTCATGCGTCCATCTTCCCTCTTCCATCTCCTCTAGCTTGACAGGATCCGTCTCACTCATCCTTCCTGAAGAGTCAAGTAGCCAAAAGAAGCTGCAGGGTCCTGGGAGAGAGGAAGAAGCAAAGGGAGCCTCAGAGGCCCTGCAGGGATTCTCCTGCCCTAGATATTCTCCTGCCCCTGGAGAAGCACAAATGGGGTGGCCCCTTCCCAACAGAAGCCCCATTTCTAAACCTCTCCAGTGGTTTCAATTTTCCCTGTTTGCTAATCACCCCACTTCGTAAGGCTGGCAGGGTCTGTCCAGTAGTGACCTCAAGGTGGAACCCTTGAACTCACTGGGGACACAACTTGTGCCAAACCCAGTCACCTTCCTGTCCCCAAGCCTGAAAACTGAAACCCCAGAGCATGGGCAGAAAACAGACGAGTAGCTAATACATGTAAGTGGCCCCATGCTTGGTGCTTTCTATGGAGTGTCCTGTTGACGTTCTTTGTTGTTGTTTTTTAATGATATTTATTAAAGTTTCACAAAGAAAGAATCACATCAACAACAAAATAAATAAATAAAAAATTCAAGAATAAGAAGAAAAATACACAATACAAAATACAAAAAGAAAAAAGAAAAAACAATTAAAAACAATTCCCTCTTTTCATCACTACTTTTACATTTACTTGTTTCCCGGACCTCCTCATACCTCCCTCTTTTGTATTCCAATTCAGTTTGTTAGTCCAGCAATTCCTTTCCCTCCTTTTTAATCCCAATCCTTAATCTTAATATAATATAACATTGAATTTTTACCTAATAAAAACCATTTTTTCCATTCTTTTAACCTTTTTAATCCTTAATCCTTAATCTTGATATATTTATAACTTTAAAGCCTGTACGGCTAGAAGCCACTTAATTTCAATCCAACATCACTCTAACATTCATTAATTTTGCAATATTTCTGTAAATAATTTTTGAATTTCTTCCAATCTTCTTCCACCGACTCTTCTCCCTGGTCACGGATTCTGCCAGTCATTTCCGCCAATTCCATATAGTCCATCATTTTCATCTGCCATTCCTCCAGCGTGGGAAGTTCTTGTGTCTTCCAATACTTTGCGATGAGTATTCTTGCTGCTGTTGTAGCATACATAAAGAAAGTTCTATCCTTTTTTAACACCAGTTGGCCGACTATGCCCAGGAGAAAGGCCTCTGGTTTCTTCAAGAAGGTATATTTAAATACCTTTTTTAATTCATTATATATCATCTCCCAGAAAGCCTTAATCTTTGGGCACGTCCACCAAAGGTGAAAAATGTACCTTCAGTTTCTTTACATTTCCAACATTTATTATCAGGCAAATGGTAGATTTTTGCAAGCTTGACTGGGGTTATGTACCGCCTGTATATCATTTTCATAATATTCTCTCTTAGGGCATTACATGCCGTAAACTTCATACCTGTGGTCCATAACTGTTCCCAGTCAGCGAACATGATGTTATGTCCAACATCTTGTGCCCATTTGATCATAGCAGATTTCACCGTTTCATCCTGAGTGTTCCATTTCAGCAGCAAGTTATACATTCTTGACAAATTCTTAGTTTTGGGTTCTAACAGTTCTGTTTCTAATTTTGATTTTTCCACCTGGAAGCCAATTTTCTTATCCAAATTGTATGCCTCCATTATCTGATAATAATGAAGCCAGTCTCGCACCTTGTTTTTTAGTTTTTCGAAACTCTGCAATTTCAATGTCTCCATCTTGTTCCAAAATTTCCCAATATTTTGGCCCCTGTTGACGTTCTTTGAGCTCTCTCATTGCAAGCCAGGCAGATGTTGTGGCCATATTTGCCTCTTGCATGTGGACCAAATCTTTGGGGAAGCTCTTCATCTCCAATTGGTAGGAAAGAGGGTTCATTAACCTGCTGGTGGGAGGAGGTGGCTTTTCAGCCCATAAATTCAACTCATGCTGGAATATCTGGTGGGCTGGATCTGGAGCACAAAGGGTCAAGTTCTACTTGCATGAGCCCTTGTGTTCCTTCTTCAAACTCATTAGGCAGGAACGTCAGAGGTCAAATCGGGAGAATATTTCTTTCTGGGCTTCTTATGGCAGAGCACAGGAGGCATGCAATCAATTCTTTTCAATTCTGTCAAGTAGGTCCTTCCCTAGATTTCTCAAGTGCAAGGACCCAGGGCTGTCTGAGTTATGGGGTTCCTTGGGGTCCAGGTCAGCTGGCTAGTCAGGATTGTCACCTGCAGAGTATATGTCAACTAAAGGATAATAGTCTGCCTTGAATTGAGGACTTTTTGGAGGTGTTGCTGAATGTGGAAGCAGAGGAGCTGGTGATGCCACATTTCGGAATAATCTTGAGACTAATACACTGTTGGAAAACATGCCCCCCTCGGGAGAGGCTGGCCTCTCTCCCAGATCCCGGGCATGTTTACCGGTGATCTACTCTGGCTGACATCCCCGCAGTCCAGGAAGATCTTGATAGGCGACATCTCCCAGCCGGTAAGATGCACACCCCCTTCTTCCTTGCATACCAGCAGGAGAAAGAAGATCGTCAGAAAGTCTTTTACGTCTTGTTTATTTCTGACTGCACAACTCTTCAAAAAAATGTCCGATCAGTTCAGTCTCCTCTGAGCAAGAGACTCAGACTTCCTTCACATACGCAACAGGAAGGTCTCATATTACACACAGAACAAAGCCTTGTAAATCCT